CGTGAGCATGAGATTAAAAGGGCAAAGCCCGAGTCAATACCTTGGGGGCGTAGGTTTAACCCTTTGAACCCTAAACCCTTATACTGTTAAACCCTAAACCCTTAAACTGTTAAACCCTAAACCCTTAAACCCTAAACCCCAAAGCCCTTAAATCCTTAAACCCTAAACCCTTAAACCCTAAACGCTTTCACCCTAAACCCTTAAGCTCTAAACCCTTCAACCCTAATTCCTTAAACCCTAAACCCGTAAGCTGTTAAACCCTAAACCCCTAAACTTGTAAACCCTAAACCCCAAAACCCTAGAACCTTAAATCCTTAAACCCTAAGCCCTTTAACCCTAAACCCTTTAACCCTTAAACTGTTAAACCCTCAGCCCTTAAGCTGTTAAACCCTACACCCTTAACCTGTTAAACCCTAAACCCTTAAACCCTTAAATCCTTAAACCCTTAAACCCTTAAACCCTTAAACCCCAAACCCTTAAATCCTTAAACCCTGAACCCTTAAACCCTAAACCCTTTAAACACAAACCCTTAAACTGTTAAACCCTAAACCCTTTAACCCCAAAACCCTTAAACTGTTAAACCCTAAGCCCTTAAGCTCTAAACCCTTAAACCCTAAACCCTTAGATCCTTAAAGCCTCAAACCCTAAACCCTTAAATCCTTAAAGCCTTAAACCCTTAAACCCAAAACCCTTAAATCCTTAAACCCTAAACCCAAAAACCCTAAACCCCTTAACCCCAAACCCTTAAACCCTAAACCCTTAAATCCTTAAAGCCTTAAACCCTTAAACCCTTAAACCCTAAACCCTTAAACCCTAAACCCTTTAACCCTAAACCCTTAAACCCTAAACCGCCTAAACCCTTTAACCCTAAACCCTTTAACCCTAAACCCTTTAACCCTAAACCCTTAAACCCTAAACCCTTAAACCCTAAACCCTTAAACTGTTACACCCTAAATCCTTAAACCCTTAAACCCTGAATCCTTAAACCTTTAACCCTACAACCCTAAACCGCAACACAAGGTTTAGAGTCAAGGATGTTGGTTTTCGCTTGTACGGCTTATACCTAAAGAGGAGTTCCCCAGAATCACCCACATGGAAAGTTAAGAGTTTAGAGCTTAGGGCCTGGAATCTCCTTCTATATAATGGCTATACGTCCAATATGTCCATTTAGGGTCTAGGGTTTAGGGCTGATGTCACAGGGCTGAGCTGTTACAGGCTGAGTCCGTGATCCAGTTCGCTGGGAGCCACCGACCCAGTACAACCACAGACTGATCTGATACGCTGATCCGTTACCCAGCGCCGTTGCGGACACACCATGATCCAATGCCTACAGCTTCCTAATGCAAACAGAACACAAGGACAGGCCGAGTTGAAACGAAGAGCAAGGTCTATTCCACACTACATGCATCTTTACTCAGAACTACTCTCCTGAGGACAGCACTTGCCTTTGGATTCCTCGGCTGAAGTTCAGACATGAAGGTGCGTCACTGATTCTCGGCTTTCCACAGCTGCCATCCTGTTGGGGCGACGCCCAGGGCGAGCCAAGATTGCAAGTGAGGGCCGAATCAGACCACAAATTTGTGCTGTAATCTTTTCGCAGCAGAACTGGTTCCTTGGGAATTGCTTTTTGGACCCAGCGAGCACGAGTGCTCAAAATCTGTGAGAGCGCTAAGGGTCATCAATGATGTTCAGCAGCTTCTGCTCCAGCTCCAGGGTCTGCGTCTTCTCCAACTCCTCTAAAACAGAATCTACCTTGGTAGCATCCCACAAGCCCTCAACAGGCGAGTACGTAGACGTCGCACCAAAAACTAGTTAATGGCTAATGGTCCAGTCTGGTCCTTCTTGCGCACCGGCTCCATCTCCTTCTCGCGTGCCTCCGAGCTATAGCGTGGAAGCGCCCTGTATGTCAAGGTACTCAAGAGTAGACGCCCCACGCATGGCCTCGTACAGCATCTTCCCCTTCGAGAGCTTCTCGAAGGCGCCCTGAGCAATCCGCATTAGCATGGCGGGATGCATCTTGGACCCGGAAACCTGAACGTGCAGCCCAAAAGAAACACTTCGAACTGCTACTCTCAGTTATATCATTCTATCTGGCCTATCTGGCGTGCGCAAGCCCTCGCAAATCCCAAGACCACAAGCACGCAGACTCCAGAGGACTCTTAAGGCAGTTAAGGGAGCTTGGAACCCCTCCACATAAACATGCTTCCCACCAGACAGGGATGTTGCTGACTTGTTAGGGATGTCATAAAGGGGGGCACTGTTTCGGCTAGAGCGCGTCTCTTAACCAGGAAGGCTGTCTGCAAGTGCTTCCCGTGTGAACCACCCAGTTTTGCGCACATGCTGGCAGGCGCGTCCGCTGGTCTGCCACGGACATCCAATAATACAGACGACACAGAATACACCGTGGTGCGTGGCTTTGGACCCTCCTGAGTCCCACTTAGCTATTGCAACAAGCTGGGGCCGCACATGGTCCGTGGCAGTTGGAGCTCCAGGACTCAGAAGCCATTTGGAAGCATTTACATGCATCCTATGACTACACAAATCTTGAATTCCTTCAGCATCTGCTGAGTCTGCTGGTTTTGGACGTTTACGATTCACATCGGCTTCTGTTGAACCGTGCCACTCTTGTGCGACAGCAAAGCCTCCTGGCTTTACACACACACACACTCACCCAAGCATTGTGGCGATTGGAGAGCAAACAGGGTGAATTTGGAACTGCACACCCTGCTGCGGGAAACACTGCGGAGAATCATGAAATAGGGCACGAGAATGCAACCCTTGCCGGTCCGGGTATAGTTGGGACGCCTGAGAATGAAGTTGGTATTCTCAGATTGTACGCTCTGGGCGCCCCACTCTCTAAGCCAGATGACACAGTGGTACGAACAACTAGAATGCCTGGCTTCCTACAGTGGATGCATCATGGCCCTTCACAACACTGGCATGCGTAGATGAGCATGCACTTCGCCAACGCAAGCCGCGCCAGATGCTCACTGCCTGCAATGATTTTGATGAATGATACTAGATAGCCACATCAACGGCAGTGGTAGCGATCCTCAACCCTGTCTGCAAGATAATTATGGACAAGAGCGTCAAGGGCGCTTGCTGGCTCAAGTTCTTTGGCTTCTGGCGCATGCAACATTATGAGGCGCCAAAAAAATGCAAAACATGAAGATGCCACACACTGCCTCAAAACGAAGCAATTGTGAAAGGATTCGGGTATTACCCTCTCTAAACTTTGCCAGAGGCGAGACTGCGAAGCCAGGCCCTACATGACTTTTGTCAATGGCCTGGCTGCTGCGCCTTCGCATCTGCAGCCCTCCTCTGGTCAAACTTGTGCAGACCTCTGATCTCTAGTCTGTGTTGCCATTTTCAGGCATAGCGTGGAGCCGCGCTACTTCACGGTACTGCTGCTGCGTTCAACGTCTAGGCAGCTGATGCAAGGCCAAGAATGATCTTGACTTGAGATCCTGGTCCTGCTCAAAAACAAATTTGAAACTAAGCGGCTTCTTGTCTGCTTCGTGACAGGCTGGCCCAGCACATGCTGCATGGGAACCATGCAAGAAGCGCGGTGACAAGAAATGTTCCGAAGAACAGCAGGACACCAGCAAGATGATCTTCATGAAAGATGTGATTGCAAAGGAGCCTCGGCTTTTGTGTGTTAGGTATGCGCAAGCTCGAACCGCGGCGCCCATACTTGGCAGCCCCCACGCTTAGCGCAGGCACTTGCCAAAGTGGAGGTTGAATGTAAGACCTTCAAAGTTGGAGAAAACCAAAAGCCTTCCCTCCGGATCCTGCAGTACCAACTTTCTGCAGCTTGGAAGCTGGTAGAAGTGCATCAAAGCTGCAAGGCCCACGGTGATTACCGTGGCGAGGAAAGTTAAAAACGTGTCCTTACAGCCAAACAAACTTCAAGCTTGGCTGAGCACAAGTCATGTGACAGAACACTGCGATGTATAGCCAAGTATCCAACAATCTGGAGTTAGACTTCTTCAGCATCGATGCAAGGCCTCAGTTGATGCGACTGGTGGCCTTAAGCGTCTTGACCTTTGTGGTCGGCGGCCCTGCGCTGCAAATCTCGGACGCAGCACTTCGGCAACTCAACTGCAGCAAGTCAACAAATTGGCTGTGCTGCATGCTCAGAGGTGCTTGAGAAATTTGGTTGCGGGCACGTTCATAGCTTTTGCCCAGGAACACACCCAGCAAACGAAAACAGTGGGGAAAGCAACGAGCCACATTGCCTCAGCTGCTCCCAGCTTCTTCAACAACGACTTTCTCAGCAAGCAGGGAAACCTGAAGGTCTAGAGATGAGCATTCGCCGAAACTCGTTTTATATCCTTGAATTTGAATTATCCAGCGCCACAAGCAGTATCGCTTTGGGGGTGAGGTTACTTCAGCTCAAGATTGAAGGGTATCGCTTCTGGTAGGATCCTGTCACCCTAGGTGATTTTGGCGAATTCCAGCTGTTCACGGAAGACCCGTCGCAGCATGTGCTGGACGAGCTTTGACGATTTCTCACATGAAACTACCTGGATGGCTCCCAGAATTCAAAAGACAAGTTCGCTTTCAATGCTTCAGGCTACAGGGCAGGGGCACAAGCACTCAGAATTCCAGAATCCGGCTTCTATGCATGGGTTGACTGCAGAAGGATGACCAAGGTGACAGAGAAATATGCCAGAACTTGTTCAAAGGCAGCATCGGAAGAACAAGCACTGGATGGGTCCAAGTAGCCAAAGTGACGCTCTTCATGCAAGCTTAAAGCAAATCTTGCAAACAAGGCTTACTCTTCCAATTCAGCTAGACAACGTGTCTGTGTGTAAGACAAGACACCAGTCCAAGGATGCTTGCAACAACCTCAGGATCAGAAACTTTCGAGACTGTCAATTGCCAGTTTTGAAAGCCAGCCAGGCAATTATTGCAACCCCAGCAACGCCAGTGTGCACGTCTCCCATCTTGAACCTTTGGCAATTGAGGCCCTTGGAGTTTACTTTAGACTCTAGGCCCTCCACTGCACCAGAGGCAAGGAATCTGGGAGTTTGATTGCTGCTGCCAGAAAAAGGAAGAATCATTGTTGAATATCTGAAGGTGCCGGACCCTGCCTGGCCGCAACCATGTCCATTTGCCCCCAAAGGATAGGGGTCGTCGCGCCAAGAAGCCAGCGATACCTGTGGTACACAAACTGCTCAGTAAGCACATGAAGCTTCACCAAAACTCGGAGCATTGACCCTAAGTTCCCACATGGACTTGCATTCCAGGGCACGGGAACGAATACAGCCCCAGCTGGCTGGTCAAACCCGCAGCAACCTTGGTCCGGACGGTGGACTCAAAGCTCTCCACGGACCCAAACCTCAGTTCATGGAGGAAGAGCGGGCACTTAGCAATGACAGCTTCTCCAGACAAAGGCCACTTATCTGAGGGGCGCGTGGCATTTATGGTCTAGCGCTTTTTCCGGATTCTGGATCTGAGCCCTCCATTTCGTGTGCCAAAGGGGACTGTTCCTGGACGCCAAAGTGCCGACCGGGCTACCCTCCTGCCGAACTCATGTAAAGTTTACTAGCGGCTGATAGTTTACTAGCGGCTGATAGTAGCTGAGCACCTGAAAACAGCGACACATGATGATCGAGACGAGGACATTGAGCAAAAGGGACCACAGGGAGGAAGAGCAGGAAGAGCAGAAGGAACCGAGGCGCAGCTGAGCGAAGAAGAACACGAAACGCAAAAGACAGCAAATGATGTGGACAATCATGCAGGCGCTTGCGGGCCTGTGCAATGGAACAAACGTCAAGTGGCTTTGAAACATTGATTGATTGATTGATTGATTGATTGATTGATTGATTGAAGCCTGTGAGCAGTCATGCTCTGCCTATCTGGCAAGGCCAGATCAGCAGACTACCGCCCAGTTGGCAAGCAGCCCATCGCTTCACACATAACATGTCTGCACAGCTTTGAAACCAGCTATGTTGACTTGGAATTTGGCTTGAGCGGACGAATGTTGGCAGCGCAAGTTAGACGATGCAAAAAGTATACGGAATGCAGAAGGTTTGTTGGGTGAAACACTACAACATGTTGTTGCTTGACAAGAACTGCCGCTGTCTAATTGACCTCGCCGTGTCTTGTATGCTTACTTATTGTTGAGACACGCTAGATGCCGGATCATGCTGGGGATAGTACACGTTGATGCAGCTATCACAATAGAGAGGATGATACCTGAGGGTTGGTTGCGACAAATGACACACAGTAGAGATGATTCAATGTAGGAAGAACCCTTGGTGACACTAAATTTCGGTACCGATGATGCGGTGAGGGTGCTGATGACATTGCAAAAGAAGGACTGCAACTTCGGAAAACTTCGGTTGCCATGACAGGCTGACGCATGTAGTATGTGGAGACACATGACACAACGGACTGCTGATTCTCGACATCACACGATGTTGGTGAAGATGCTGATGCTGATGATGACAGGAATCCAGAGAGGGAGGATTTGATACGTCTTCAACGTATTGTTAAATTGACCCAGCCCGTTCCCCCTAAAAACGAAAGAATGCCGAATTCCATTGAACCTTTCCCCGCAAATTCGGCCTAGCCTGCGCTTCGTGAGAACCCATTGGATCCCCGAACAGGCCGTCATAGCCTAATTTCCTCGTGATCAGCCGTGAATCGAGGAAGAGCTCCCCACAATGAAAAGTCTGCACATGTTCCCAAATTGTCATCCATCCAATCCATTCCTGTCTTCCCTACTCACAACCACTAAAATTTGTAGATGCCCAAGCAGCCAGCGGTCAACACATTCCATGACTACCTGTCCAGATTTCTTCACGCACAAAGCCCTCTAGCACACCCATGCGCAAACAGAATTTTCGTGAATCGATTCTCGCCTGCCGGTCACACAGTGCCCCCTCTGCGTCATGGCCCTTGTCGCAGCACATGCATCTCGTCTTGTCGAGCCTGAATGAAGAGTTTTTGAATGCGTGTGGCATCCAGGGCTCGCGAGGGCCGGAGATAAAGACGACTCTCTGGAGCAAAAGCCGCTTGAACACGTAAAGTCATCTTGAGATCACGGATTCTGACTTGCCATGGCTGCATTTGCTCGCAGTGGATTCTACAGCCAGCATGGCCTGAAGATTGCAAGCTGCTCTCGCAGGTTTCGGACACTGTCATAGTAGCTCCTTTGCTGCCACAGGAGAAGCACGGCAAAAGGTACTGTTCATTCATGTTCCTCATTTCTAGTGCAAGGGTTGGTGTGCACGGGGATGGCAGCTTGCCTTCTAAGATTGTCAGATGCAAAAAGTCTGTGGTGGAGAAGGCGCAAACAAATGCTTGGCCTTGCTTGAGACCTGGCTTTGCTGCGTGAACTTGAAGGACCCGAACGTGGGATTTACTAAGCATGAGTCCCCTTAAAACAGTGTGCCCCCACGCAAGCTGTGAAATCCCCTAGAGCGCTCCTGCAATCACAGTCATCCTGTTGATATGATACGACGCAACCAGGGAAAGCCCAATGCCAACATGCTATACGGTTCATTCATTCATACATACCATGTACCGCAGAAGCGAACTGTAAAGTTACCATGACAAGGAGCCATGGATCAGTCCCACCAAGCAATGCGTCCTAGTTGCCGAAAAGCTGTGGTTCCGAAGTAGAAGCCCACCACTCCTTTCCATGGTGCTTCTCCGAGGGGCCAGCGCTGCATTGCAGAAGCTTTGAGGTTTTAACTTATCGAGGGGCTCTAAGGTGCAGCGCGACAGGACATCAGGGACCCATAGCCATAGGTTTTTGGGGAGGGCTTCTTTTTCTTAGGTGTCATGCTTCTTGAGGCGAGGTTTCTTGAGTCTGAAAGGCTCCGGTTTTTCCGGTGGTCTAATCTCTTTTATGACATGTAGTCGTTCTATTCTGTGGGTGAGTTGATGGCCCGAGGCATAGCTTGCTGCGACGGCGAACTCCGCGGTCCCACACGGCTAACTGCACAAAAAAACTGCCAACATCCTCACTGCCAACATCCCCATCTGAGTGCCAGGTCGCCGATAGAAATGAATGCCAACAGTCCATGGAAGTCGAAGAAGGTGTGTATGACCAACTCAGTCGTTATCACCTCGATGCACATAGTCTAGGCGTTTCCCATAGAGCCCGATGACCGGACTAACTCCAATCCACAGCCTGGTTCAATGGGCTATGCCATACAAATGCGAGCAATTTTGATCAGACTGAACCCCACCCAGCATGGTAAATGATGCTGGCAAGATACAACCAGGCTCCCGAAGGCAATGGCTAGTGTGCAGGGCCCAAGAAAGGTCGGCCGAATCTTCAGGGCTGTGTCTGGGCAGTCCGGATGACTCTTCACAAACGCCGCATACTCGAAGATGCACCTGACCAACTCAAATGGCAGCCTCTGCCTTTGTTTCCATCAAGGGGAGGCCTACTTTGGACAACGCCCCGCCAGAGTCTCCACACGTAAGTCGCATCCCACATGACCAGCAGGCTCTTGGAGTTGGTGAGGAAGCCGCCGATGCTCATGATACCCTCGGCCTTCAAAGCCTGATCGGTCTGGTGGATACCTGAGCCAGGGTGTCAGCTTCCGGAGGGAGCTTTGGGAACACCACGGGGCTTTCCCACGAACTCAAGTCAGAATATGATGTTCATTGCGACGGAGCTGCAAATCTTATCGAGGAACACAGTAGAGCGAGATTGCCAGAACACCAAAATCAAGAGTGCCACGATCCTGAGAACATGCGTATGCAGGACAGCGGTGTCGAATCTTCGCGGCTTTTCCCGTTGAGGTGCGCCATGAAGCTGGCTGAGTGAGAGGTTGCTACACAGCCGCTCTTTCTGCCAACACCGAACAAAAGCCATCATTACAACCGCCGCCCTGAACTTAGCAGCCAAACCCAGCAAAGTCGCCAAAAAGCAGTGCAAAGCCCTACTAATCGAATCCAGCATGCACACCGGCACCAGTTGCCCACAGCGAGAACTCGTATGAGTGGTGGTGCCCGATATGATCCTCAGGGCCACAACGTCATGGCAGTGCTGCAGGAGTGTGCAAGATACCAACGTCCTGCTGGAGATGCACCTGACAATGATGACGACGATGATGATGATGATGATGACGACGACGACGATGATGATGACGGTAATGGTAATGTTAATGGCAATGGTAATGACGACAGGCAATGCTGATGATGACGATGATGAGGAGGACGATCATGGTGCTGCTGCTGATGATTTCAGAATATAGTATCTTATCACTACAGCTTATGAAATTCATGCCCACAAGACCTTACCGACCAAACAAAGCACATTTTTAGGATGGGAGCAGGGTGCTTGAGACTTGATCATGGCTGCCGAGGTCGGTTCAGGCTTCAGCGCTTTGGATTGAAAAGCCACGTGCCGTGAGGCTAATGCGCGCAGGATGCTGGGATACACGGCAGGCACAGAAGCAGCTGGAAAAAAGGTGCAGGGAGAGGGGTCCATGGCGAATTCCTGCAGAGACTATGTTGTTCGGTAATTGCAGACTGCATGAATCAAGTATCTAGGCTTTTGTCGGAGATACTGCGAGCCTTGGTCACCGGCAAATGAGTGAACTAGTGCTGCCGAGCGGCAATGGATGGCTTCTCATAGCCGGGCAGATAGCCTGCACCTCAGCTGGATTGCTTTCAGAGTTCAGCCTCGAGGCTCGAAGCTACAGGGAAGGGGCCAAGGCACTTTTAATCACCATCGCCACAGCAGCTGCCAGCGTCCCTAGCCTTGGCGCAAATTCAAATTGGCGAGGCACACGCAAGGACTCAAATAGAACGCATCCTGCTTTCTCGGGATTTTTTGATTATGTGTACAATTGGAATGAAGGAATGGATTCTTATGGTAGTCCCTATAAACACCATTACAGGAGTTTCCATGGTCTTTTCCACTCCTTCGTTCCCAGCGTAGTAGCCATTGCCTCGCAACCTATTTCGACCAATGGGTATGCGCTACTGCGTTACAAAAGGACTACTGGCACTCTTCGAGTTCACCTCTCGAATTCGCCTCACACCTCACCCCTCCCCGCCACAATCTTCTTACAGTATGCATCAGGGTGCGGCACTTGGAAAAATCGAAGACCTCTGAAAGCCTGTTCCGAGCGCGGCAACACATTTGAAAATGGAAGAGCCAAAATCCGCAAGCCAGCCTGCAAAATATGGACCTAATTATGCTAAGATACACAGCTGCAGCAGTCCCATTTTTCCTCGGTGAAGAATCATGATCTACTTGAGAATCTTTGCGCACATAATCCAACATGAATCATGACGCTTGGTCCTACTTCAGCCATGACGGCATCTTCTTCTACCTCTTCAGCTGCAACAATGCCCCATGTTTCTCACGCATAACTCCAAGCATCAGAATCAGCAGCAGGGCGATCTTTCGCCACACACTTTCCCTCCAGGAATGAGACCAAAACTCATCAAGAGCCTCGCAGGAGTTATGATTTGCTATGAGCGCCGGCCACTGTAACAAAAGTGAGCCGCGCCACGTTGTACTCCTGCTGACAGCCTTGTTGACGCTTACACATGGCAGCAGCGGAGCACCGCAATCGCATCTGCATAAACAGCATCTTCAAAGACTTCGCTAATTTCACTGTAACACGTAGCGCGTACTGCACACAGGACAGATGCTAAACCCCGACCAGAGACCCTTCCAAATGACAGGCCTCCGCGGGCTTGCTGAGGTGATGGAAGGAGTTCCTGCTTGGACAGGCTGCGCATGAGTTGACTGGACAGGAAATCTAATGCTGGTGATGGATCTTGATTGGCAAGCAGCGCATGCCATGGCCGGTGGCAGTCAGATTCGGCTGACCAAAACAAGGCGAGGAGTTCAGCAGCTTGGCAGAAAACAGCAGCAACTGAGTGAGTGGCCCGCTATGCGGACCGTCACGCAAGACCAGCCCCAAACCTCATCGCTGCAGACACGAATGCAAGTTGCAGAGTTCAAGTCGAGCCTTCCTAATTCGGGAGCTCAGCAGCATCATAAATCCATCCGCAAGGCCAATGCCTACTTTGCGTGAGAACTTCCTTGCAATTCTACTAGGGATTTGCCTGACTGCATCCTGCAACAAGATCATAGAAAGCTCCATAATTCCAGCGAGCAGCGCCAGAGGACATAAGCAGCCCTGGTCGACCGCTGTATCTCTGGGCGTGTGGATGCCATCCTGTTGCCCCTGATAAACACCACCAACTCTGTCACAAGCGTGTATTCGTGAATCTCTGCACATCCACCCAAAGCAGATATCTAGACTGGGTCGATACTGGCTCTTGGCATTGCGCTCCATCCAACGATGCGCTGCAATGGGAGGGGACACAAGGACTAGGCACAGCGTAAATTTGCACGTGTCCTGGTGATCCTATCAGCCAGTGATTTCACAACGGTGTGGCCGCGATTCCCACTGGGCAACACCTCCACCTCCAGTTTGGCTCGCGGATGCACAGCAGAGAAGGTTGCTTCCCAAAAACATGCTTCATCTAAACTCCATAGAAAACCTGCTACTGCGCAGGCCTGAAGCAATACCCAACGAGGGCAGCACAGCCAACAGCCACACTGCAGCAAGGAAACCATAAATCACTTCGGGCATAATCCAATGGTCTGGTAGTCGTTGTTGCGGGGGGTCTCGTTGATACAGTAGGGGTCTCATCATGTCTGATGTTGTTTTGAAACTGAAACCAGCAATTCACGACAGGTCTGCCTGTAATCCCTGCCAGGCGAGATTGCTCGCATGGAGCCCTGCCCAACTACATTGCAAAGAAAACCCTGACATTGAGACACCCGGACCTTGCCAGGAGTTTCCGGCATTGGCTCAGCTGGTGGGTCGACAGCCATGGTCAAAGTGCGTGGCAAGCTCACTCAATTCTTTGTGACGAGGGCTTGAGGCCTAAGATCTGGGGCTAGAAGCTGCAGAAGTCCGCACTTCGGTTTCAAGCATATGCCTATATGTCGCCAATGCTGGCATGCGACACAATACAATCTCAGCGGCTGTGACGAACATTGGGCTGCGGGCAGCATCTTCATACCAGGAGAACGAGGCACTGCGGTTGCAAATGTGGGTGTCCCCAAGATATGCGTCTCTGTCTTCGGGGATTGCCCACGGAATGCCATAGATTTTGTGGTATACCGGATGAGCTCAAGTGTCTTGAGCACCCTAAGTCTCAAGGCAGCACACGAGCCGCACGGCCAGTTTGACCACTCGACCCTGGGACTTTGCATGCAGGTCAAAACAAATAGGTGAATGGAAAAGAAAACAGAAACCACTACACCATTTGGGGTATGGAAACCACGACACCATCACTTCACCAATTGATACCAATTGGGGTATGGCTAATGGATTCTCTTCTTGTCTTCACTCCGTTTCCCAGGTTTCATAGACAAATCCGTCTGCAGCATGCATAGAGATTATGATACAATTGCAGGAGCATGTTCATGATGTCTACATTGTCACCAGCAAAGGCCACAAGTATGGGCCTGCATCTGTTGTCTTTCTTCCGCCCTTCGGAGCCTCTCGGCTCGCCGCTCAGCAGCCTGGCAGACGAAGATAAGATGGGTAACGTGGCCCTGAGTAGCTAGACTAGAGTCACTAGAGTCTAGAGCACTCAGGTTTCCATGCTGCAGGCTCTTGAGCCGCGACTCAAGATTCTAAGGGCATACTATTCAATCCAGATTGTTCAGGCGTCCATATGTCGAGTGGATGTTCTCAAAACGGTGTTCCTTCTGCAAGCGGGCTCATGAAGTCGCTTGCCCTCATTGTCGCATGGCAGTGAGGATACTTTTCTGAAAGGGGAACCCTTGTCATTCGGACTCTTGGACACACCGCCTGACCTGCTTCCTAGTCAGAAAAGGCCTGGTGATGCAGGAAACCGAAGAACGAACCTTCCGCTGCTTCTCCGCTTCTCGTTGCTGTCTTTCTTCACCTGTGAAAACTCACCCACCTCAAACAAACTTGCCTGCATCATGAACCCTTGCTCCGACACGGTGCTCCGACAACATTGAATACGTTGAATAGGTAGTCACACAAAAAAAAAAACGTGATGAAGTGAAACTTGGAAACATGGACCGTGCTACAATGCCCCGCGGATGGCAGACTGCACTTCAGTTGATGCTTAAGCTGCACGGCTCAAAAACTTGGGCGGCCGCGGGCTTCTTTGTCAGAGGCCTTGTGAATGGGACGAATAGCATGTTTGCTACAGGCACGTTACTAGCAATCAACTAGTTTTTCTTCCTCTGGCACTAACAAAGCTATAACTAGCAAGTGCTCTCAAATGTCCAGTGACATCAAGACCTGGCACGCAGGCCTGTCGAACCTTGGTCTATCAGGACAAGCGCTCAGGTAATTCACCCATCAAGTAGAACCATCACGCCTCGAAGCCAAGAACCTACCCCATGTGCCAGAAGCTGCACGAAGCCAGTTTGGACCATGACCATTTGTGGACTTGCCCGTGGAGGTTGTGTCAATTGCGATTGCCTTTGCCGGCGTATTGGGTCCTTCAATCAACATGAGGCCTGTCAACGAAGCATGTAGCACCAGCTGTTGCTGCTCAGTGATTTCACGTCAGTTGGGGCAACGAGTATGGAACGTTTTGAAGCTGGACGGTTTATTTTGAGCGGATGGACCTGGCAGCCCTTTCGCCAGTGATTCGGACAAGTGGCATTACAACGTTGTTCCGTTACTGCCTTTTTGCCTCTTGAAGAGGGTAACTCAGGTTTGGGTTGGACATTGTGCTGCTCATCGTGTTGCCCTTCGTTGATTTCGGAAGCTTGGCTAAAGTACTACAAATCAGGACTTGCGGGCCCAGGTTCCAACAGAGTGTGTGAACCGACCGGTTTGCTAGCAGAAG